CAGTGACTGCTATTGTGAATATATTCTTTATACTTCGAGTTAAATAGCAAAACACCCTCAAAGTCAAGGCTCAATAAAACTACATTGAAAATTCTCTTAGAAGGCTCGAGATAAAAACGACCTTCACTTAAAATGTGCTTTTGTCAAAATAATTACCATCCATATAGTAAACAATCATCATAATTCTAATCACTTGGCCAATTAATTAATAATGGAAGTACGAAAAAAACATTGAAATAAAAAAATTTGTAAGACTTTGAAACATGTAATGACAGATCGATACTCTTCTCGTTTTTCAAATTTTCTTAGACTATCTTCAACATCACACCAAAATTTAAGATAAATTTCACACAATTTTACACCAACTTCAAATCATTTCCATTATATTACACCAAATGAACAATGTTTACTCATTTTTCTTTATTTTTTTTTATTCTTAACAATTTATTTATTTTACAACTAAATAAATTACAACATAAATAATTAACTTTAAAAAAATCATGTTCGTTACATTTTAAAATTTTATGATTGCTTTTATAACAATAATAATAATAATAATAATAATAATAATAATAATTTATTGTATCACAAAAATGTATGACAAAAATGGACACAAATACTCGTAACCAATTTTTTTTTTTTGCAAAATGAAATAGAAAGACAATTGTATTTAACCATTTTAGTGCAAAATGATGCAACACGTTGGAGGCGACTTGCACCAAATATTTGGTTCAATTTGGTGAATCATAGTGAAATGATGCAATGCTAGAGAGGCTCTTATGAGAATAGCTCCAAAATAGCATGAGTTTCCTTTTCATGGCACAAACTCAAAATCTAAAAAATTATATCTTCTCTTGAGCGAAAGGTTCTACGCCGCTTGATCAAGCAAAAAAAAAAAAACCTACAACAAATTATCTATACCATGTTGCTCGTGCTTGAAAACCCTAGAAAAATGCTACCATTTCGCTCGTGACTGCAACTTACTTAAAATAGCTTGATCGAGAAACATTTTGGAATGCAATAACATTCTGTATTATCTCGCACTTGCTCATATTCTCCGACTTGTCTCTCACTCACCAAGTCCACA